AAAAGGAAGACCGTCCCGAAAGGAGACTTCCCTTCAGGTATGCACCGTCCCGAAAATTGAAGCCGTATGTCTGTTTAAAATTGTTCTAACCTTTGTGGTTTTGGTGTGCAGATATCCACGTGGGGGTCCATCCCAACGGGTGGATGGACGCGGACGGGGTCATCGAGTGGCTTGACGGGGCGGTGAAGCCGTACATCAACCCCAAGTTCTAACCGCCCGAAGAAGGTTCTGCTCGTCCTCGATTCGTACCGACCCCGGAGGTGAAGAAGAAGTTCGGCGAGCTCAACGTGGTCCCTGCGGTCATCCCTGCTGGCTGCACCTCGGAGGTTCAACCCCTCGACGTCGCGGTTAACCGCTCCTTCAAGGCCACCGTTCACCAGCTCTACCAGGAGTGGTTTGAGCGTAAGGGCGTCGACAGTCTGACAAAGACAGGTGAGACGTGCAGCCTGTTTGTTTGTGTGTTTTTTTTTTAATTTAACTCCTGACTTTGTTTCTAGATTTGCGTGGCAGGCAACATCAAGAAGCCGCATGTCGAGCTGACGCTCAAGTGGATCTCGGCGGCCTGGAAGTCCGTGCCCAAGGAGCTCATTCAACGGGCGTTCCTCACCTGCGGCATCAGCAACGCCCTGGATGGGTCCCAGGACAACCTCAGCCTGCAACACAGGCGAGACGAGCTGGAGGGCGAGGAGGTCGACATGGATGATGAAATTGCAGCAGACGGCTTCTTCTGCAACAACGTAGAGGAACCTGAGTCGGACTCTGAGGCCGACCCAGATGACCCCACTGCAACTGATGATTAGAGTAGGGTAGATGTGTAGAAAATGGTGAAGCCTGTGTGAGGCTTGTAGGTAGAAGTAGTTTAACTAGATTTAGATTGACTATTAAGATGATGTTTTAGTGGTTTAATTATGTTAAATGTCTTCAATATTAAAAAAAAAAAAACAAGAGGCGACAAAATCGTCTTATGGTTGCGAAGCAACAGTCTTTTTATATGCATTTAATGATTGATGATTTTTTTTAAGTTTCTCATACATAATATTCTTATGCTCTTGTGCATATTTCACGTATATAAGGGTTATCTTGAGTCGTACAATCACATTGGTACTACTATAGTGTAGTGTCGAGATAAGACGTTATGTGTGAATATGTGTAGAAACTATTTCTTTTCAGAAAATTTTTTTCATGTTTAACTATATGATTAGATTATTCTGCTCGTCTGGAATACAAATATGGTCCCTTAAATTGTATTACATGTGTTCTATTATGCTTGGTTATGTTGCAATGTACATTTGTTCTGTTTTTTATTGTTACGTTATCACAAAACAGTTTCAGCTAAACTCTGTGAAAATATCAGAAAACAAGTGTATTTGCTGTACGAAATGCTGACGCCAGCTTCGAATCTCACGCGCACTGTTTTTTCCGATCGTGCTGACGTCAGCAGATTCCGAAACAGTTGTACAGTAAAATTCTGCGAATCACTATACAACAGGTTTGCTGACGTCAGCAACAAATCCGAAATTGCTGACGTCAGCTTCAAATTTCATGCGCGGAACGTACATTGCGCGTGAAATTCGAGTTGGTTGGTCAGTGGCACGACTTCCTAATGGCAGAAATCGAATGTTGCAAACCACTGACAGTTGTACCAACTGCTCAGGCGGTTTTCCTCGGCAGCAACATAGCAGGTTCAAGGTGTCTTTTTTTGTATGTGTAACTGTAAAACTAAGCTCGATTTTATTGTGGTCCTGAATGCTGGAAACTGTTTTGTCTATATTGTCGGTGTTGCAAATAACATCTCCACTGCTTGTTTTGTTTTTAGTAAAGCTTGTAAATATTTCCGATTCGTGCTCACACTAACAAGCCCCTTGCGATTGGACAATATTTTTGTCCAATTGTGGGTCTCTCAAGTGGATGTTTGGTCCTTGTTTTTGGACCAAGGACCTTTCTTCACACCACAGCTCTTTCACAATTCTCTTCTAGCATTCTGTTGTTCAGCTTCTCATTTCTCCAGCTCCAAGATTGAACCTTCAACTCTGTATTTCTACTTCTCACCAGTGAGTCTAATCACAACCTCTTAGTTGGCTCTCCTCAGTAAGTCTCTTACAGCAAGCTACACATATCCTTTCATAGGATTTGTCCCTCTTTTATAGGATTTGTCCATGTCTCCGTATTCAATTCTATCCCTATGTTATTTCTTGCTCTCATATGTTCTCTCATTTGTTGCTTTATTATCATGTTTGGTTGTTTGATTCATGTTTGTATAGGCTGTTCATCACGTTTGATTGTAACCCTAAACCCTAAACCCTAAACCCTTTTGTCCAGGGACAACAACCGTTGCTTTATACTACTTGTGCTACCCGAGGGCGGACGTATAGTTCTCACCATCTTGAGGTACTGGCATTTGTGTCACTTCCAATATCATTTGTTATTTTTATGTGCTTATTGTGTCAACATTGTTCATCTATATTTTGTGCTTTAGTAGTAATATCTTTTAAGTCGAATTTGGATATCAGTATGGTCCATTAGCTGATTTTTTTTTGGTATTTACGTATGTCTTCACGGTTCTATTCTTAGGTTTTATATACAAGGTATATATTCATATATGTATTTCTGTACTTTCTTCCATTTTATTGCTATGGCACAATTTCTGATTCTTATTTTCTATCTCTCTTCCTTCCCATTCATTTCAGTTCGTTATATCTTTTGTTTTAGGAACACAAGCTTCAGTCATTTGTTTTGAACTTCTCATCAGTTGAAGGTACTGGTGTTTATTGCATTTGTAGATATGTTATTCTTTCGTTGGCATGCTCTTCACTGCATGCCTTATTCTTTGTCCGTTTCAATGATGTTCATGTGTTGTACCATTGTGACCTAATTTTGTACTTCTAGTTTAATTGAAACATTGTTGAATGCATTATTGTAAGCTTTTGTATGTAGTTACAATAATATTGTAGTGTGTGTTTCATAGTGTTTTATTATTGCTTGCGATTCCTACACAGAGCCATTGGCAGTTTCACGGTTATCAACTCGATTTGCGGAACTCCTTCGTAACCAACAAAAGAGGGTTGGTAGGATCAAAGTATGTACTAGGACAGTCATTAGTGAAGTCTACATTTTTAAGATATATTGAATACAACGATTGGTATACTTGTAAATATAATTTACTCTGCTTTTACTCGTCATTTTAAAGTGAAGAAATGTAGGACGTTATGTTGTCTGATTTGGTCATTTGTGTTGTGCACATTCAATTTACTTGTGTTATGTCGCTTTCGTTTATGCCAGAAACATCAGCAAGATATTCGGTTACATTCTGACATCTTGGAGTACATTGAGGTGTTCTTCTCAGTAGCAACAAGTGGTACGTGTTCATTGTGTTTGTAGATATGTTATTCTTAATTTGGAATGTTCCTCACTTAATGCCTTATTATTTTCAATGGTGTTCATGTGTTGTATTAGTATAACCTCATCATGTAAAAAGAAATTGGGGTGCTTATTTTTACGTACTTCCCAGCTATATTGTATTTTGTGTTTCATAGTGTCAAGAATTATTACGTTGTGAAACAGTGCCATTGTCAGTTTTTTGTTCTCAATTTGTTGAGTTGCTTATATGTAGTTATTGTGTGTGTCTTTCTTTGTGTCACACTAGATAGTCCCCACGGGGTCACCTCCAAGGGTCCTCGGGTGCCTGGCAACGCCAGCCCCTAACCAAGGGTCCGTGTTTGTAGAGGGATTTCTCTAAGTGTAAAACAGTCGTGTGCACTAAGAGCATTCCCAAGCTCAATTGCGCAGCGTTGACGAGCGATAGGTGCGTGTGCAGAAAAGCTCCTCGCGTCAATACGTCGATAGAGCAATTTTCATTCACAAAAGGATTGATTTGCAACTTCAGACAAGCACGCATATATATTTCGCCTAACACACATGCAAAGGAAATCAGCAAGCAGTTGACTAACAGCAATAACATGACTTCGCCATGTTGTCTTAGAAAACGGTTGCCAAACTTCGCTTGAATTTGGCTTGATCCGAGTCCTTAAAATAACCGTCTTCAATTTCCATGTCTGCCAAATGCCCTTGCTGACTCCTCTCGCGAACGATCGCGAACGCACATGTAGAATCATGAACGCTCGTGTGGGAGTTCCCGTTTCCCCACAGTTTACGGTTGCAAAAGGGATATTTCCGTTTTGTACCTGTAATCCGAACTGTTCAGTTAGGCGCGGTGCTTTCACGCGAAAGTTCTCTGTGCCACGTCACAAAATGACATGCTCGAGATTCAGTTATGCAACTGAAATCTCGAGTAAATCCCGAGCACCCCTAGGGATCCCTCGGCACCCCCCGAAACCCACACGCAACCCTCAGGTGCGCAATCATCTGCACGACCAGCCGAAATGGTCGTGCTATACAGTGCCAGGACGTGCGCCGTCCTGCGCACGCTCGCAACAGTGCGAGCCACACGCTCGGGCCCTGAGGGCCCATGCGCAGAATCTAGACCACACGCGCGGTCAAGATTCTTGCGCCCTTGACCTTGACCACCACGAAACTATCTCGCGAACACTCGCGACTCTTCACGAACACAAACGAAAACAGAAAAACAGAAACTGTCACGAACAACATGAATGTGCATGAACAAACATGAAAATACATGAACGCTCACGAAGCTTGCACGAACAGCACGCGAACAAACGTGAACGCGCGAAAGCTCATGAAAGCACATGCTCACTCGGAACTCCACGCACATTCATGACACGACAAGAACAACACGAAATTCACACGAACAATCATGAAAGCACATGAATGCAACATCACACCAAAATGCTCATACCTCATGAACCGCTAAGGCGAATTACAAACCGTAAACGCCAAAACGAAGAGCACACAAATGCGCATGCCACAAAATAGAAATTGCCTTCAAACAAAAACCTTCACATTTCACCTTGCTCGACGAATAGGCGACAGGTTGACGTGCAAAATACGATTTGCACCCAACAAACTCCCCCTCAACCTGACGGCTAATCAACTCCCTCAAAATCCTTCTCATAGACGACCGGCTCTACAACATTGCCGATCCCCACACCAGTTTTAGGGAACGCAATCTTATGCTCCCCCACACTTTCAGCTCCCATGTCATCAGCTGCTTGCAGCTTCACAGAGGTAAGACCGTTACCACCCAAGATAATATCCGCCTCCTCCAAGCTCCGCTTCACCTCAGGTTCCCCCATCACCTGAGTCTCATCATCTGCAATATTTGCCACATTCAGCTCCATTATCTTCTCCTTCACAGCTGCATCCTTGAGCTGCAACGAGACATTACATTTCTGCTGCTCACGAGTGTCACTCTTGTGAGCTCCCTTCCCCTTAGCCACAGCAACGGCAATGACATTGCTCCCCCTGGCTTCTGCACCCTTCTCCTCATCAGCACCGGAAGCATTCTGCTTTTCAGCCGCTGCAAGTCGAACATTCATCAGCTTCAACTGCTGCACCAACATCTCCACCGTTGATTTCAGCTCCTTGATTGTTTCAGCAGCTACTGCAGCACATTCTCCCTTACAGCCGCAGCTCCCCTTCTCCTTCTCAGGTGCTACCTCATTCCACAGCACCATCGGCACATGCCACAGCTCATCACGAAGATCCATGTCCTCATGCAGGTCCCACAGCACACGATCACCGAGCTGCCCCTTGAAGGTTTCAGCTCCATTAGTTGATGTACACACGCCTGTAAGTCCCAACTTCCTTAGGGAAATCAGGTTCCCTTTCAGCTCCGGCACCAAGAGCACATCTTCTAGGACGACCGGTTTCCCATCAGCTCCCTTGAATGCCGCTTTGCCGACGCCCATCACTCTCATCTTGTGCCCGCTCCCTGAATTCATCTCAGTGATGCTCGTCACACCAATTTTGTCTAGCAGGTCCGCCCTTGGGGTCATGTGACACACCGCTCCGGAGTCTAAGATCCATGTGTTGAGGGGACCAGGCTCTGCTTCTCCCTTGGCAGATGCCTTTCCTTTTCCCCTACTCCCTTGCACGTGGAAGAACTGTCCAGGAGCGCGTTCCCATCCTTGTTCCCCTTCCATTGCGGTCTCTGCTACATAACCAACGCCATGCGGTTGGTTCTTCTTGCCATCCTCATGCTCGGGAGTCCACCACTTGGGCCGCTTCCAGCACTTCACCCAAGTATGCCCTAGCTTCTTGCAATACCAGCAGGTACCCTTGAATCCACGATAGCCACGGTCATCCTCTTCGCCTTCATGAGCTTCTTCCTCATCACTCCTGCTGCTCGGCTTCTTGTCACCACGTCCGCTTCCATAATGTCCTCGTTCACCACGTCCCCGGTCGTTCCCCTTCCGCCACCTGCTGCCTTGCATGCCATAGCCGCCGTCGCCATCTTGGTTGAAATTCAGCTGCCTCCTCCTGAAGTCCTCCTCCAACACCTTGGTTCGCACCCACTCGAGAGTCCAAAACTTCTCGTTCTGAGGAAGGCTCAGGCCACTCGTAAATTGCAGCCAAGACTCGGGCAGCAAGGATAGCATCCGCAAACCCTTTGTTTGCTCCGGGTAGGTGATGCCCGCAATCTGCAATTTCGCGTACAGCTCCCGCATCTTGTCGAGAACCGGTTGAATCGGCTCCCCCTCACTCAGACGTAATGCCGCCAACTCACGCTCCAGCATGAGCGTTGCAACCACCGAGGTTGGCGCGTGCAACTCTTTTAGTACCTTCCAAGCTCGTGGTCCGCAATCCTCCTTTTCCAGCAGATGCATCACGTGTGCCCGCTGGTTCAGCTCCAAGCTTTGTGAGAGAAGATAGTAACCGGCGGTAGCACGCTCATCCCACTCCCCTCGCAGGTTGGCGTCGTCCGGCCTCTTCTCCTCGCCCGTCATCAGCTTCAGCAATCCCACTTGTCGAAAATACAGCTGCATCGGCCTCTTCTCCACGCCCAATCGTCGTAGTTGTTTCCGTTGAACTTGTCGACGATGAAATTCTTCAGCACGTCCTTCAATAGTGAGCCCGGGCTGGCACGCACTCCCTTTGGCGCTGAACCACCCGTATCTTGGACTCCACTATTTGCTCGTGCAAGAGAACCTTCATTGTCGCCCGGCTCCATGGCGTTATAACGGCAAGACGTCCAAACGGACCGAGAACCAGCTCTGATACAACGTGTTGATAGCTATAGGGATCTAGAGACTCTTGTGCACACCTTTAATACACACTAGATAGTCCCCACGGGGTCACCTCCAAGGGTCCTCGGGTGCCTGGCAACGCCAGCCCCTAACCAAGGGTCCGTGTTTGTAGAGGGATTTCTCCTAGTGTAAAATCAGTCGTGTGCACTAAGAGCATTCCCAAGCTCAATTGCGCAGCGTTGACGAACGATAGGTGCGTGTGCAGAAAAGCTCCTCGCGTCAATACGTCGATAGAGCAATTTTCATTCACAAAAGGATTGATTTGCAACTTCAGACAAGCACGCATATATATTTCGCCTAACACACATGCAAAGGAAATCAGCAAGCAGTTGACTAACAGCAATAACATGACTTCGCCATGTTGCCTTAGAAAACGGTTGCCAAACTTCGCTTGAATTTGGCTTGATCCGTGACTTGATGTAAAAAAAAAAAACCATTTATACATATACACACTATATGTAAACTTACGCAGGTTCACAGTGGAGGCTACTTCTGTGACGCTGCGTCTTCATTTGGCTATGGCTGCTGCACCTCAGCTTTTTACGGGGCCTTCTTTCGATGGTGAGTTAAGACGAAGGTACGTATTTTGTAGGCGGATCGTGCGCGGGGATGGGGCATGTTTATATAGGTGTCTGTCACTGGCAACAATGAATAACGATTCGTTTTGGGACTCACTGAAAAATGAAATTGTTGAGCACGTTCGCGCAAATTGGTCGCGATTTCAAAACTTAGTCGCAATGTGTCACGATGCTACGTTAACAAACCCAGAAGAATATATCCAGTATATAAAACAGCCTTCGGTTTGGGGTTCAGCATGCGAAATTAGATCATTTTGCGAATTAATGAAGAAGACGGTTATAATTTGGTTTGATTCCCGCGAATGGATGCAACACGAGGGTTTAGAGTTTTTATATATCGATAATCAAATCCATTTATTATTATCGAACAATCATTACACTCTTCTTGAAGAGAGTAAAGAAGGGGAGGTTTGGGGCACTTCATATTTTACTCCGTTGCATGCGACCAATCAGCGCGATACGTCATGCGATAACGAAAACAGACATCAGAAGGCACAAGAACAATCAAGCAGCGAACGTCGTATTTGTAGAGACGAAATACAGTCATGCGATGAAGTTTGTTTTGGAAAAGTTTCGAGCGGCGTAGCAAGGAATAGACATTTTTTTAACGATAAATTGCAAGAAGTCGGGGAACAGTCTAGTGTTCCAGATAATGGTGTTGTTACACCATCTTTAAGTATGCAATGCGAGCATGTTCAAATCGAGAAAACATCGAATGAGCGTAGAACAAGTGTTTGTTCTATAGACGAGGTACAAGATGTAGAAGAACAATCGTATTCGGCTCACACTCCACGACATTTTTCAGTCAATACTGCTTCATTCAACGAAGCACGTACAGAGGAGGAAGTGTCAGAAGATGACATAAAATCTTGCGTTACTGATGGAAGGATTGATTCGAATGGAGATATCCACTTTTCGATCCCAAACATTGCACCCGACAGTGAAAGCCTTGTAGGCAGCGTTAGTGACGGATATCGTTTTACTGCGCGATTAATGCTGAATGGTGACAAATTTTCGGCTGGAGGATTTTTAACAGATTTGCATGCTGCTTGGGCACGCCAATACTATGTGTTAAAATATCGAGGACTCAAAACACGTCAGAAGCTTCCATTTCCTCGGGCTTTTTTCATTCGCAATGAAAAGCTCGTGTGCATACCTTTCTTCGACACAATCTACGAAATGAATAAAAACAAAAAAAAGTTCGCAATCAACACGCCCTAAATCATACGTCGGTGTATACAAAGGTTGTGTGAAGTTCGGATTCCCTATATGTACGAGAAATGGGATTCGGAAGAATCAGCAGCACGTGCCAGACAATATTTTTTACACCTAGTCTATGGACCTGATTGCAAGAAAACATTGCCATTCAATGTAGATGAATACTACAATGATGGCAAGTTTGTCCGCAATGAGCAATTGGATGAGATTTTCAATGACGTGGAAGAACGATATGATGAAGCAGAGGAGCAGTCTAAACTCGTGAATGAAGCCATATTTCGGTTTCAAGAAGCATCCAAAGAAGGCCCAATTTTTGCGTGCGATAGTTGCGACAGATTACTATTTCGACGACAGCTTTTCAAAGTAACGAATAAATCATCTACTCTAGTAGACGTATGCAACAGTTGCAAGATTGCAATAATAGGTAAGAAAACGCCCATACTTTCTCGTAAAGGCGGGGCGTTACTACCGAAGAGGCCCACCGCTCTTATGGGGTTGTCGGATTTAGAAGAACGTCCCGTCTCATTTCGTGTCGTGTTCTCGAGCATTACGCAGACACTCGTTCGGAAACAGTACAAGATACGCGGTGGAGTAGTAAACGTTCCGGTTAAAGTGGTTGATATGGTAACTGTGTCGAAAGTAGTAGGAAAAGTTTAGAAGCAGAAAGAGGAGTTGGACTAGCAGCAGTTGAGATACAAATAGCAAACCCTAGATTGGGCTGTACTCGCTATAGAGTACCCCACTGCAGGCTAGACAAATACAACATTCTGACACACCCCCATAGCCAAAGTTGTCAGAATGTTGTATTTGTCTAGCCTGCAGTGGGGTACTCTATAGCGAGTACAGCCCAATCTAGGGTTTGCTATTTGTATCTCAACTGCTGCTAGTCCAAACCCTCTTTCTGTTTCTAAACTTTGCCTACTACTTCTGACATGGTAACAGAGCCGTTACGTCCTTGGCCTGTGGGCCCCACGATGCTTCCGCTGCTACTTCCTGCTATTTCCTGCCTGCCGCGCGCCCCGGGCGCGCGGCGATTTTTCTTCCCGCCGCGCGCTCGGGGCGCGCGGCGGTTTTCTGCCCCGTCGAACCGCGTGTCGCCCCCCGTCGCCCGTCGCAAAGCCCCCAGGGACCCGCGCGTCGCCCCCCGTCGCTCGACGTGGCCCGCGCGACCTGCGCCAGGCCCGCGCGCGGCCCGTACAGGCTGCGCCAGGCCCGCGCGCGGCCCGTACGGGCTGCGCCAGGCCCGCGCGCGGCCTGTACAGCCCGCGCGCGGCCCGTACGGGCTGCGCCAGGCCCGCGCGCGGCCCGGGCAGCCCGCGCGCGCCTCGTCCCGCCTGCGGCAGACCCGTGCGCGCGCCTCGTCCGTCCCCCGAGCTTCTGCCGGCGCCCCACCCCCGCTACTGCCCGCGTTCCTGTGTTAGGGTTTGGGGGTGGAGGGTATGGGGGTGCCGTGTGTGTGAGCCGTCCCCTGCTCCTCCTCCTCCTCCGTCTCCCACTGCTGCAGCTGCCGCTGCGGGGGGGTGGATGTGTGGGAGCCGAGGGTTTAGGGTTTAAGGGGGGTGAAAGGGGAGTGGAGCTAGGGGCGAAGCAGGGGGTGTGTGTCGAGGGGTGTGGGACTGTTGGGGGAGGTTG